GGGAGAGAAAACCGAATAGGGAGAGTTTTCAGAGAGAAATCGATTTCAATTTCAAACTGGGAACTGCGGTACGATTCACCTCCCCCACCACAAAGTTCAGTTCTTCGTTTTGGCGGAGGTAGTGAAGCGCCCCTCCCCCTGCCGATATCTCGCTCAAGGTGTGGAGTTTAATCTCGGACCAAATCTCGCTCAGCCCAATTCTGAGCCTTTCATACCTTCAAAATCGTGTAATTTTTACCAGACGCGTTACCACACGCGTTTGCTGGAGGGCAAAAACTCTGATTTTTTCACTAGCTACTCCCGCAGATGGTTGCATAAGTCATTGCATTCGAATGGTCCCACGATTCTTTGTTAGTTGACTGTGTGGCGCATTCCAAGAAAAAGAAGTTAACTAAAAGCGAATGCTCAAGTTTATGTGTTAGCCTCATAGGGTACATGGCATCTATCTCTTCCTTACTGGGAACCATTTCACCACCTCAACCCATATAGTTGGCCTTTCCCCTCTCACCTTTACATAACTTTAGATGGAAATGTACTCTCGTATCCTGCTCAGGCTCGCTGGAGCTGACAGCGTTCCCGTAAAGAAGGTGGATTCGGTTAGAAATCCCCCTATTAGGCCGACATCAGACTTTGCGAATTGAGCGATTCGCTAGCCGTGATGCGGTCGCGGGCGCTAGCGAATCGCTCGATTTGCAAAGTTTGAAATCGGCCTTAGAGTGACCATAGATAATCCAAGCAAGGCCAACAGGTCGGCAAAGCCGCTTGGAATGTTTTGCACAACAAGTACTCGTACTGAGACATTATGTTCGGCTCTGCGCTCAAAACTTGCAGTGCGACTCATCTGCTAAGTTCTGAAGATTTCTCTCACACTATTCTTCATGTAATCAGCCATGAGGTGGACCCTTGTGAGTTTGGAGAGAGGGAGCGTGGTAACCCTTTCATTGGTCAGCTGGCAGTGATTGAGGCTGACACTCGGATGCCGTGGGATCAACTCCCTCAAAGACGCGTGAATACAATTAAGAAGGTACGGAAACTTTGTAGACGATTTGACTGCTTGAATCGTTTTTCAAGATTCCCACTAGGGTTAGGGTGGGAATAGTGGGCATTCCACACAGACCCTCCATGGAACAGGGAACGAGATGGCCTGCCAGAATGGTGAAACCCGTGAGAGGGCAGGAGGTCTACTTGGAAAGGCAGGGGCTCCAATTGCATGGAATTCGTCTGAAGATAATCCCCTAAACCTAGAACTCGAAACATCCTCGAAAAGTCGAAATAAGCTCCGTGACAGCCTACCATATTATCTCCTCTTAGGGAGAGTGCGCCATGCACTCACTGTCACTCGAAATAGTTCTGACATTCAAATGCTCATCAGATTCGTGCAGTGATTTTTGATAGCAGCACATATACACCGTAAGTGTTTTATGCTTCCAATCAGGCCTAGCAAGAACTCGGTTATTTCTGGCTTAAGAGCGCCTGGTCCGGAGTCGGATCACTGAAAAGTGTTGGTGACCGTGCTTATCTTGCCCAACTGACCCCTGGTGCTCTGTAGGAAGAAAGCTTTGTCAACGCTATCTCTTCTGATCTCTCATTCAGGACAAGGTTCTGAGAGGTACTTCTCACCGGGTATCGAACTCCCTCTGGGTAGAACTCACTTGCAGATTCCGGCGACGCCGTCAAGGAACACGGCTGGGTTCACGGAAGCGGCAGGTGATGAGTCGAGACGGAATGGCACATCCGTCGGCACTCCGCATTCTGATGCACATGCAGCGGTCACATCTGTGGCTCCGTCCAAACATCCAGATACCAAACGGAATTCTGAAACATTTCTACTCATTTCCCAGAAGAAGTTTCCTCTTTGCTGCCTCCCCATCGTCTTTTCCTTTCTTTCTTCACCGAAGAACTCAAAACATCAACCATCTAATTGTTAGTGGCCCCGTTCTACGATGCTTCTAATTGCAGCCAGTATGTATTTCAGTAGCAGCACTGAACACTGGGAGACAGGTTTTTTTCTGGGTAGTCGGTTCTCATGCAAAGGCAATTGTTGGTCACGGTTCAGCGAACTGGCTCATTGCGCGTTGTGGACGACGGCACAAAGTCATTGTTCCCCGAGGAAGGCAGCAGAAAATCAGGGAAAACGGTTACTCACGTACCTTCGATTTTGTTACTGCAGATGAACGAACTGGCGTGGGTCCTCGCCTCCAACTCGGCGATCTGCTCAGGCGGACATTCCCGTCCACACTTCAGCAACGCTGAGTTCAAACTGAAAGAATGTAGGAGTTGGAGATGTATTTTCGGGGTTCAGAGTGATGTGGGCGATCTCCCGTTAGCGCCTTTGCTCGATCTGCCTCGTCACCGGCTTAGCCTTGTTCCTTTTCGAAATGTGAAACGTTCAAGGTTGGCTCTTAACCTTCTGATGGAACGTTCGGCCGATCGCCGAACTGGGTGAGCGTTAGCGGTAAAAACTTCTGATGTCAGACCTCGTCCGCGTCACATGATGGCTGCGATCGTTAGACTGACCCATTGAATATTGGCCTTTGTCCTTCTCGAACTACCGTAATCTGGCTCTGTCCAGGTATAACAGGGACGAGCGCGAAACTCGTCCAAGAGGTGGAATCTGCACCTTACTGAGATCTCTTAGTGCTACCCCAAGAGGGTTAATGTGACCCATGTTCTAACCCAAGGAACAACTAATACAGTGAAGTGGGTAATCTTTCAGCCGCCTCCGACGACAGTCAACCCCGTGTGTCTCTTTGACCGGTCCGCGCGAAACAGACCTACCTGCTGCTGAGCCACGCCCTGTTGCCCGTCTGAGAGAAATAGAGAGCTGTGCGAGGAGAGCCGGGTAAAAAGACTATTGAGCGAAGTATCATTCGAAATACAGACACTTTCATCCCTACACCATGCATGGCCTTGGCAAAAACTCAGAAAACGAATCGAATTGTTGTTCGTTTTCGTATTTGGCCGCATTGAGCACAACTAATCTATGCGATGGGGCAGCAACGGCTAATGGGTGCCGAGAATCGCGCTACCTGGGCGCGAAATCGAGTAGCCACTTAGGGACGGGGCCAACGTACCTGCAGAAGTTCTCGATGTCGACGGCGATGCTCTTGAAGTTGAGCAGGTCGAAAGCAGCGTTCACGATGCTTCCCGATGCGAAACAGCCCTGTAGACATGCGCTTGCCGTCGGAATCACCGGCTGTGGTGGGATCGACGCTCCTGAAAACGGTCGTAGTTACTTTTACCTGGGTTTTGTCCCTCTGGAGCGACCTTAACCCTCTAGGAAAGGTGAGTTCGGCGACTGGATGAGTTTTGACAGGATTCTTCATTGAGGGCGCTAATCTACCCCTCCAATGGCCGTTCGCGGCAGTACCATAACCCTTCAAGGGGTGCCATCAATCACTTCTGAACGGCTCGGTGCGTTCCCCACCTTTCTCGGGGAATCTTCCGAAAGGAAAACCAAATGAAACCGGTGTCGACCGTGTAGAAATAAAACATACCATGTGCAGAGGTCGCCAATGAAAGTAATAACCACAGAATCATCGTGATAGGTCTGAAAATGGAACATGAGACGGGGGAAAGACAACGAGAACGGGTAGAGGGGAGCATTTTCGAGGAAAAAAAAACGAATATGAACGGAAGAGAGCGCAACGATTCGCCATCAACGAAGAGCCACAAACATCCTTATATTGGACCCACACACAGTTCAGTCGGGGAAAAAACCCGGTCAGTGTTCCATGAGTAGAGAAAAAATGAAAAGTAATCCGTACAACAAGTTAGATAGTGACGCGAATTCGCGTGTGGAACCGTGCCACAGCCGGCGAGAAAAAGCGATCGGAAACCTCGAATTGAGCGCGGCGATTCGGCCAAGGGTGAACACAGCCCGGCCTGTGTCCAGCCACCCGCACACATCAGCTGGGAGTCGCCACAGGTGAAGCGACCGGCGAGCGGGAGCCGACGACGCAGGGCGCCCGGTCGGCGCAGAGCTACCCCATGGCTGGTGACAATTCTCGTGTGTTGTACAGTGTATAAGGAAAGTGATGGTGGTCTGGTTACGATCACCCGAGGGGCGGGGCGACTTTTACTCTTTAAGTCTCCACACCACACCTTCCAATACCGGTATTGATTCATCAAAGTGGCACCAACCACCAAAGATGCTCGTCCAGCTCATGGCTATCGTTCCATAGCATAGCTACTGATAGCGCCTGCTGATATCAGTGATTATCACGCGGTCCATAGGGATTATTCCTTCAAGGTGATCGGGCAGGACCCTGACTGATGGACAAATGCGCGGTACTGTAGCCGGTTTTTGAGTGACTGAAGAATATTGCGAAACAACTGCATTCCAACCTAACATTCATACAACGTTTTTGGCATCCGTTTTGGCCTCAAAATTTATTTGATGCAGTAGATCGCGTCAAGCCGTCAAACTCGCCGCATCGCCTCGAAGTCATGAAGTATTTAACCCTGGAAGGTTACCTGAGATTACCGAACGTGGAAACACGAGGGAACACTCGGACTTAGCTTATTACTTCCTAATAATCTAGCGTATTTAAAAAATGCAGATCCCGAAGAAAGTCCCTGCTTTTTTAGCAAGGAAGGGTGTTGATTGATCTTAGTTTGGGATGCGCCACGCAGAAGACATGCGATAAGGTACGCTGTAGTGGAATCGCCAGTGGCACTAGTGGCTCTCTTAAATACTGGTTTTCTGTAAGCTCTCGACGTTCCTGGGAATTTTGCCGATGTGAATTTCTCGACGCCAAGCTTTGAAAAATTTGTCTTCCTTCTCACTCTCCGAAATATCGCCAATAGCCCGTGGTGTGCGCTTGTTACTTTCCCAAGCAAAGTCTGACAGGGGGAGCTGGGATCGTCACCAGCGGTCATTTTGGCTAACGCACACTGGGTCGTTAGCTGGATCCAAAATTTGCCTGTATCAGCAAACGGCGCTGCTTGCCATGAACGCAGTCCGGAAATCACATTCATTTTCCGATCCCTGGCCACGAAAGTGCAGCACTACCCAGGGGCAGCGTATACTTTCCTACCGCTTTGCAAGTTCCGTTAGTGTGGAGATAGTACGTTATCGATCGCATGTATTGCAATTTGATTCGGATGCATATCTATTCCATACTCGAACTGTGAGACCGTCGCAAATTATACCGCACATTTTCCTAGAAAGTAAAACTTCATGATCCCGTTCAATTTTTGAGGTGAACTCGAAATCACGGAGTACCACTTTGGATCTTAGCGGTCGGATTGGATTTACATGAACTCTTCAAAAAAGGTTACGCGGTGTCTTAGTTTCCGGAAGCATTTCAGATCTTTAACATGTCCTGTAGACATTTGGTCCTACTACAATCGCACGAACTTGCACAGGGATCGTTACTTAGCGAAAATCCGCCATGGGCCGATTCAGGCGTATATCTTTCGGAAACTTCAAAATTTCGTGATGTTCCTTTCCCGATTTCTTTCAGAGCAATCCAATAGATCCTCCACAATGAAATTCCAAAATTTACTGTTTACACTGATTATCCAATAAAAATGAGAGCTACCGCAAAATACGGGGGCATTCTCCACGACTAGGCAAGGAAGGGGCATAAACATAGGGGAAATAATAATTGCTCGCGCACCCTGTACTCTCTCATCCCTCGTCTGAAGCTTAGTCCCGATTTTGACGAAAAGGAGTTTTATGCTGTTTCAAATGCATTACTATCACAATGCCCCCTATCTTGCGATAGCACCTGAAAAGTATTCATAGAAGTTCTGTGGGGCTAGGGTTTGCGCAGCGTTCATCAGGTCCAGAACACAACCAGTTTGGGAAATTAGTCTGTTGATAATTCGATAAATTAAGGAACCTTTGCCTGTCGCTGTTGTTTCTGATCTTGTTTACCCTCTTTGAAAACCGTCAACAGCAAGAATCGCACGCTGTGTGGGGTTGAACAGAGAGAGCAAACTCGGGTAGGGCCGAAAAAAGACAAAGTGGGGAGTTAGTTTAGTAAAGTGTCGGTGAAATAGCTTTATAAACTCGTCAGTAAGGATTTGAAAGGACCAGGTGTCGTGTCTTTTGCCACATGGCTTTCGAACACACACACATGATTGTTTGATGAGAACGGTAGTAAGGGGGAGGGAGGCTTAGCCGTTCCGTGATCAATTTGGGTGTGGTTATTGCCCTCGGAATTCAAAGTAGAACTGTGAAGCGGGCCAATGAAGAAAGGAAAATCAGGAAATCACAGAAGTCATTTGTGTCCTTGTTCAGTGTTGTCTACGACGACGGCAGCCCAAGAAACACGAAAAGGGATCAAGCGCGGAGACGAAGGAGTGTGGGGACATGGGAGGCGCAGACACTGACACATTAGCATCGGTGGATGCGTGTAGGTAGAGCGTATAGAGCGCGCAGGGTTGCAAAGCACGTATTCCTAGCACCCTTATCTGCGCTCTAATTGACTCAAAAGGATAAGCTTCCCAATGAAGTAAGCGATGTATCGCCTCAAGGTGCAGTTGTGTTGGATTCATTCAAATTTGCCTGGGTGCAAAAGTTTAACCAGGGAGATCCTCGTGATGCGGTTGTTCTAGCCTTGGTGAAATCCAGTCAAAGAGGGGGGGGGAAGAGGGGCATGGCGCGCCAAGAATCCTCTGGAACAACAAATGAAAGACTGGTGCTAACGCAGCCATTGCCCGTCGATTCATGCAAGTTTTTGGGTAAGCACAGTGGAAAATCCAATCTTATGCAAACATTAAAAGTCCACTAAGCATGGATTGGTCCCTCTCAAGGATGTGCCCCGCATTCGACTTTTTTCAGGATCATTGCTACATTTGGAATCCAATAGGCCTAGACAATGACATTCCGATGCTTGTCCGTGTACATATTGATGTTTTATTCTCCCAGACCAGTTCGGTACCAACTGGTCGACCCAGAAGGGTTGTAGGGCCTAATTGGGTAGGCGTTTTTCGATCTACGATTCTTCCTAGACCAGACGCGTGGTAAGCGGGCAAGGCATGAAGGGTATGAAATGAATAGCATTTGTTAGAAGCCAATCTCTCCAGAAAAGCTATTCTCAGGCTAGCAGGGACAGGGTCAACCTTCTGCTCCTCAGCTGCCTAATGTGCGGTGGGGAGTGTCATAATGTGGTTGGTGACGGTCAAAAGTTGAAAAGGAAGGTTGTATTTCTAGACTGAAGGGGTGGTTGTGGGCAGGGGTTTGTGTTTGACGGGTTTTGTGACGATTTTGGTGAGAAGTAAACGAAAGAAAGGTGAAGCAGAGAAAGCTAGATGATGAAGATTGAGACATATTATAACCTCCCCGTCCTCCCTCCCCCCCACCATCCCTACATTGCTCGGCGGCCGTTTTGGAGGGGGATTTGGCCCAGAATTGCTCAATTGGTCTCAGAATCAAATACCATAGAAACAGTCACGATGGTGAGGGTGGTGGTTGGGAGTTACGAGGGGGACTCCTTACGGCTGGCGATGATGGGGGGTCTTATCGAATCGAGATGCCCCTGAGAGGAGGGGGGGCGTCAAATTTCTGAAATTGGGCTACGTGTGGTTGACCCTGCGAAGGAACCCTGCAGAAGAATGTGGCATGGTTTCACGTTTTCCCTACAACGTGCTGAGAATCGTTTCAAGAATATCTTCGCGTCGGTTCTGCCTAAAAAGTGTGCCCAATTCACTTGTGAATCCCCCAGAAACTCTTCTCGAGTTCCAGTTATCATCATTCTGTGGCACAGCAACAGCGGCGAGACGACGAACAGAAGTGGAAGTGGCAAGGGTGGGCCGAGCGAGAGACAATGTGGTGAGGCATGCGTGCATGAGTTCTTTGAGAGCAGGTGACCAGCGAAAAACTCGAGAAAAATGGAAACGAGTTTGGTGGCGCCCGATCGCGCACACACACGCGCGAACACGAGCAATTTCACCAGCGCCATCCGCCCGCGCCGTCACGCCGACCAGTCCTCAGGCTCCCATACATCTCCCTCCACCTCCTCTCTGCCAGTTACTGAAACCTCAACGATCCATGCACTCAACGAAATTGCAATTCACACACAACCACTCACAACAACAGCCACGAACGGGGATCTTGAAAAAGGGTATCTGAAGAAGAAACAATGAATCGATGAAATAATTGGCGCAGATTTGGCGCCTAGCCAGAGATACGACCTTTCCTGAGGTTACATAGGATTCTGAAGCGTTTGAAGCATCTAAGGATGCCGTTTTGAATGTTTTCCAGGCCCTTGGCCAAAGTCAGCCAAGGCGTTCAAAATCTGACCACCACAGGACAAACAAAATGGACCCCGTTGGGGCAAGGGGCGGGGTCACAGCATAAAAATGCGAAACATGGAACATGTCGAAGTTCATTCGGAATTCGAATCCCACTTCTCAAATTTTCCTCTCCCATGTCTTACACAGAGGTAACCGTTAACCCCCTGCCTAGATCATAACTAAATTTAAGAATCTCATCTAACTGGAGGTACAGGGACCGATAGTGCCCCTGTCCATAGAGTGCTGGAGAAAGGAATGGTGAAGTTGAAATAGAGTAGCCAGAGGCCTTACAT